AAGAGTACATTGCAGGAACATTATTATATCATATTGATATCAACATCGATCTGTCACTCTTCGTGTCTGCTCAATCTGTGAAGAAAACGCCCACCATTGATATCGAAATTGGTCTCTAGCGTTATAGATCCACAGACTTCAGGTTGTGTCACTGGGGAACAGGAATATTTCGAAGCTAGGAGCATGAACAGAAAAACGCATAAAGAAAAGAACGTGTTTGAGTATATATTTGTTGTCGCTCAGTTTAAATATATATATATATATATATTCTATTTCTTTTTTATCGTGTTAGTTTTATATTCATGTATGATTTTTTTTTGTACCGTGTCAAATAAATTAGTTTTTATTGAATTGAATATCTTCTCTTTGACACTTATTACAGAAATGACAACTGTCGAAAAAGCGCTTATTTCCGTTGCATCTTTCCTTGCGCTCAGTAAAATGACAAGGAATAATGGCATCCAACGAAATAAAATTCCCACGGTTATTTAGTGAATCTAAGCTCTTTGTGTTGGATGCACCCATTGCATCGAAAATTAAAATTTTACTAACAATGCATTGCAGTCAATCTTCTTTGCTTAACAATAAATGCAATGCATTTTTTGTTGTTGAAATAACACATGGAAGACAAAAGACTGTTGTAAACGGCCCACTAGATAATCATATTGCATATACGTTATGATCCAAGGAACTAAATTGACTGCATATTTTATATTTTGCCGTTGAATTGTTTCAACATGCATCTCCTAGTATATAGTACTATTTTAGGTGTGGCCCTTGCCTCTAAACTATCTTGGAGTGGTCAGACCATTGCCATATTGGCATTGGTAGTGGGTCTAATGGCATGCCCCCCAGAAAGTATTTGAAAATTTAATGCTATGAGATTGAATCTTGAGTCATTTTCATTACAAATACTGCAAACACACAACATAATGTATTGAATTAAAAGAAGTAAGTATTAATACATAAGTTGTAACTATCCATGCCGTGAAAAAGTGGTCAGGCCATGGCCTGATTGGCCTTACCGCTTTCTATGGGCCTGTATGTTCATTGCATTATTCAATGCACAGTGATATAATTTACATAATTGTATTGTAGGTATGTTTTTTTTTTATAGTTAAGTACAAAATTAAACAAAGTTTGTGCTACTGGGGACATTTATAGGTGTGGCCTCGACTCTAAACTATTATGTTCATCATATTAAAACAAGTTTTAAAAGCGCATATCTTATTAACTTCCTATATTTCTAACTACACTATAATATTAACAACATTGACTTTTATAATGCTTTGAACACCTTCTTACTTGCCAACATGAATAACCAACAAACATGACATTCATTGTATATTAACGTAAATAATAAACATTTTAAAATGTGTATGATTTAAAGACAAATTGTAATTGCAAAATGTTTATTAAATACTTTAATACCGGATGTGGGTGTGTTTTAATAACCTCGTGATGTATGACAAAAACTTTTCAACATTTTAACTATCTTACCTCTCCCCTCGAGTAGGAACGGTCGCATAGTGTCAGACGCCATCTCTGGAGGGAGAGTGACGAAGTGTGTAGTGGGCGATCTGAGAAAGTTCTACTACTGGCTACGGGGGTTACAAACAGTCATTGTTTACTGACTTTCTGGGAGCTTTATTGTAAAAAGCACTTAATTTTGGATGTAAACTTAGTATATATATATAAATATATATATATATATAGTTTTTGAAGTGTCGGGACTTAGCTCCAATTTCAGGTGTGGCAGCAATATATACTTTTCAGAAGTGACCCTCGCCTATAAACTTCTTGGTCCGTCTCATTACCTAATACACTATAATGTAATTCATTTTGTAGGAGTGACCCTCGCCTATAAACTTCTAGGTCCGTCTCACTACCTAATACACTATAATGTAATTCATTTTGTAGGAGTGACCCTCGCCTATAAACTTCTAGGTCCGTCTCACTACCTAATACACTATAATGTAATTCATTTTGTAGGAGTGACCCTCGCCTATAAACTTCTAGGTCCGTCTCACTACCTAATACACTATAATGTAATTCATTTTGTAGGAGTGACCCTCGCCTATAAACTTCTTGGTCCGTCTCATTACCTAATACACTATAATGTAATTCATTTTGTAGGAGTGACCCTCGCCTATAAACTTCTAGGTCCGTCTCACTACCTAATACACTATAATGTAATTCATTTTGTAGGAGTGACCCTCGCCTATAAACTTCTAGGTCCGTCTCACTACCTAATACATTATAATGTAATTCATTTTGTAGGAGTGACCCTCGCCTATAAACTTCTTGGTCCGTCTCATTACCTAATGTTTGATTTTGTAGGAGTGACCCTCGCATGCAAACTTCTTGGTCCTGCTTTGGGTTTCATGCTAGCCTCCTTTTGCATCAAGTTTTACGAAGATCCTGGATGTAAGTGTTAAAACTTTATTTTGTTTTCCGTTATATTTCAAAATTGTTTTCAACCATAATACACACGCAACAAGTTGTCTGAAAATCGACATTTTAAAACAAATTGGCATCACTTGTTTCACTGTGGTCTGCACTGTGGAAAGCCCTATTGACCGTGTTAGCAATTCTCCCGCGAAATTGCGCAAACAAGTGGTGAGGCTTAGATTTCGCGTAAGTCAAACCGTGCACGAAATCATCCAAAAAAGTGAATAGAGAATGAAATTCTAGCATGACTTTTTTTCTTGTCGAACTGGCGGTAAGATGTCACAAATTTCAATAATTTAGCATGTCATATGTATATCACATACATTAGACATACATAACATGTAGCCATAATTTAGACATACACAAAAGTGGTATGAATAAGTTAAAAGACGTAACGCGACAGCAGTGAATGTGCAAAATAACCTATCGTGCATGTACCATTGTACGACTATGTCACATTATGTGTCAAGAAAATCGTGTTTTTTTTTAGGCAGTTTTAAAACATATTTTCTAAAGACTTGATTTGGCGCATAAAGTTTAAAAATCTGTCAAAACATCACAAAATATCATGGTTGACACAGTCCTACCCACAATAAACGGATTAATATTGTGAATTCTTTAAATTTTAAGTCACTTATATTTTGACAATGCTTGGCACTCCTGATCCTGCATAATATTTTCTGTAATGTATCATACAAAATTCTAAATGATTGAATGCAATCATTTGAGAAAATTACGATATATTCGTCAAAAATAAACATGTCCTTTTAAACAAAGACAGGTAAAAATGAAACAATCTCTAACTCAAGTTACTGTGAACAATAATAATTATTTGTATTAAAAGCTTCTTAATATGTAAATAAATTGCATTTGAAATGTATAAGAATAGATACTAGTAAAATGTGTTAATTTTTCTGATAGAATAAATGTGTAAAGCTTATTATACTACTAACAGTACAATGGGTTGAATAGCTTAAGTAGCAGATAGACCCTAGGCCAACACCTTTATAACTATTCTCAAGGTGCTATTTGATTATAGTAAATTACGGAAAAGATAAGAATCAATTGATATTCAAGGAACTGACTAACAAGTATAACATGTGATTATAACCATATGATTCAGTAGTGGTGAATATCATAGCATGCGACTTAGTGTAAGGCCTTATTGTGTAGATGTATACAATACAAACGTTACGTTTTAACAGCAATTGAACTTTGAATACGGTATATTTATTTATCTTTTATATTAGCTTATAATCGTATCATTACAACGAACAAAAACTCTCACTTACAGAACGGTTCTATCTCTAACTAATCAGATTTCTATTACATGACTCAAAATCGTATGAATCGGAATTACTTTCAAAGTGCACGTGTCAATTTCGATGACACCTATGACTGCGTTTTTCATGAGCATATAACTTTACTGCTAAAACAAAAAAACACCTTTATTTATGTAACATGTCGATCTATAACGTGTACACGTGGTTACAGTCTACTATAGTTTGTGTTACATGATGACAAGAAACAACAACAACAAAAAGGCACCTTGCTGTCACGTGTTGACTGCGCCCTATTGCACGCACCCCTCCACTTGTCGAGTATTATTAGATATTATAATTGACTGAATAACTAACAAAACTCAAAATACTAGATAAACAAATTGATCTTATAAACTCAAATGATCCAGACGGTACTATGACTCGAGCACATTATATTTAATTGTTGACTGATCTGACGTGATATTATTGTTCCAAGTTATATTTTACTTCATCTTTCATATTTTTTGTGTTTTATTTTTAGTACGTTCTTATAATTCATTAAAATTGCGATTATATTTGTATACTTTAGTTTCCTTTCAAGACTCAAGTTACATAAGTTTTAGATTTAAACAAAGTTTAGCCTGCCAATGCTAAATTGCGGGTTATTCCAAGAATTATACTATACCTTTCCAGAAATATACATTTCTTTAAGAGCAACGTTTGGATCAAGTGCATCTGTTGGTGTGAATACGCATTTATAATAATCATTTAATGAGAGAAGTGATATTAGCTCGTTAATAAAAAGCTAAATATGCGTTAAAGTTAAAGATAATTATTTAAAAGTAAAAGAAGTAAAGATTTTAACATTTTAATATTTTTTTCTATCTAATTCGTTTATTCCCTTTATCAGATGATCCAGGAATCAGCAATACGGATCCACGTTGGATTGGAGCTTGGTGAATTGGTTTCATTGTTATTGGGACTTTCACAGCTTTGTTTTCTACGCCTATGTTTTTATTACCACGGCATGTTAATGAAAAGGCTAAACAGGGCGGTTCTTTTCCAATGCTTTTGTCGAAAAATAAATCAAAGAATTCCAGAATTCAAAACTTATTAGGTAACATATGACAACTTGTCAAATGGTTTGACAACATTCCAAAATTTCAAATAAACGTTGTTATTTGAACATGGTGATTTTACTTACTTAAGTAAAGTCGACACAGAGAACTGTTGAAATATAAATGAATATTAATAAACAAAGTGTCGTTCTTGAAAGTTTGATTATAACGCGTGTCTGACTTTATAAGGAGTTAATGATAAGCTCCACATTTCGAGCTATTCCTTTTCATAAACAGCTCTTTAAACAAAGCCAATAGTTTCACACAAGAGTAATTTCATATATTTATCATTACTATAACCTGCCCCCCCCAGTGGTACAGCAGTATGTCTGCGGACTTACAGCACTAGAATCCGGGTTTCGATACCCGTGGTTGGCAGAGCACAGATAGCCCATTGTGTAGCTTTGTGCTTAATCAAAAACAAACAAACATTACTATAACCTTTTTAAAGATTCGCTTATTTTACCGCAAATGAAAAGAGTGGCGCTACAGGCAACATGCTAAGCAGTAAAATTTAAACATGATGACGAGGAACACACTTTTTAGAAAATAAAAGTTTGAAAACGGCTTGACTGGGTAATGAAGAAATCTATATTACAAATGTACAAAGTTTCAACAAGATTTTGTTATCCTCAAGTACAAGTCATTTACAGAGAAACATGAATATATATATATATATATATATATATATATATATATATCTATGGAACAAAGTGTATATATATTCATGTTTATGTGTAACATATATATATACACTATGGAACAAAGAGGTCTCATGAGTGGAGGTTATTTCACAGACTAGTATAGGTGTCTTGGTACCCTGGGGTGTTGGCTTAGGGTGGGGATGTTATGTTCAATTTTAAGATAGGTTCCTTTATTCTGCGTTTACTGGTGTTTGGCTCTTTGTTTAAAATTACAGTGTTTTATATAGATACACTGTGGTTTTTTGAATTACAATGGTGGTAAACCTAGGAGGGTTTTTTATTATGTTCGGTGAATCTGATTTCCAATTTTCTTCCGGTTTGTCCAATGTAAAATTCTGGACAGCTTTTGCACGTTATTTTATAAATGACGTTGGTATTGTGTGATTCTATGTAATTTTTATTTAGTAATGATTTTAGTTTTAGGGCCAGGTTTTTGGGTGAATTTGAAGTCAACAGTAAGTTTAAGTTTCATGGCAAGTTTTCTCCAAGTGTTGTTCCTTGGTGCATCAGTGTCAATTTTGTTTGTGAGTTGAGTTTTTTGTTTTGGTGGTTATGTGGAAAATTTTCGACAATGGTTAGTGGAAATTTGTTTTGTGTGAATGAGGGAATGCTTTATAGAGTTGACTTGTTCATCTATGTAGTCAATTGAACAATGTCTTGAAGCTGTGTTTATAAGGTTTTTTCAGTATATTGAGTTATTGTTTGGATTCATGAGCGGAATTCCAGGGGATGTAGTGGTCTGTGTGAATGATTTTTCAGTGAATTTTGGTTTTGAACTATGTGTTGAATCTAATAATGTCGAGGCTAAGAAAAAATAACTATTTGTTAATTTTGTGTTCACTGGTGAATTTAATGTTGGGGTGAGTGGAGTTTATGTGTTAAAAAAAGTGTATATGTTTTCAGTAGAAGTGAAACCAACAAAAGTGTCGTGACATATCTGTACCAGTATAGGGGAGGATAAACCGCGGATTGTATGATTTGTGTTTCCATCTGGGTCATAAGTATGTTGTCGTGAAAAGGTGAAACACGGTTGATCAGGCTATATCATCTGTTTGAAGAAGGTTTTTGTTGTTCTGAATTCTAAGAGGGAAACAACAAATCTACTTGGAATGTCACTTAAAGGATTGAGGGTCATTAGGGTAAAGGTCAAGTGTAATATTATAAGCTTCTTTAACGGTACTCATTGAAATGTGACACAATGCCAAAGCTAGCCATTAAGGTTTACGGTTTAGTTGGTTTAATGTGTTTCTGAAGTTAAAGAGATCTTTATAAAAAGGAACCTGCAGATGTTATGTAAGGTGTGAGGCCCCATGTTATGTATTTACCAAGATTATAGTTAAATGAGTCATAACTAGATTGTATAGGTCGTATGTGGCAGTCTTTTTTGTCTAGTTTGGGAATGCCATACAGTTGTGATGTGTGCGAGTCAGTTTTCCTTAGATAAAAATAAAGGTCTTCAGTAATCAAGTTGTCTTTCATCATTTGTAACAGGGTTGTAACACCGTTCAGTTGTTTTTGATGTGTCTTTGTTGGGTTGGGTGTAAGTTATTTGTTGTCTGAAAGGATGTTGTTCATTTTGTCAATGTATTTTGTGTTGTTCATGATTACAGTAGTGTTGCCTTTGTCAGCTTTTAAAATTCTAATATTGGTATCTTTTTGCAGATTGTAGATCCATTTTATCTTGTTGCTTATGAGATTTGTCTTCAGCTGACGGGTCTGGTTAACTACAGCAATGGTTTTGCTAGAGAATTCTTTGAAAAAAATACTTAAGATACAAATTCGATGACGATGAATCCACTTTGAGACTAATAATGCTTGGAGACGGCTTGAATGGGTATTGAAGAAAAAACTTTAATATAAGTTTAACATAACAGCAATGTACAACGTTTCGACAAGGTTTTGTCATCGTCAGGTCCAAGCATTATTTAAGATACAGTTTTGGGGAACTTCAGGAAACCACGTTGTGTTATAATTACCTATCACAAAAGTCTGGTGGTCGGAGTTCTGGATTTCTTCTTGTTGTTGGTTGCTGTATGAAGTGAAGGTGGCCTTAAATGAGCATAACAACCACACTCTAAACCAACACCCCGGGGGTACCGAGACACCTATACTAGTCTGTGAAGCAATCTCCAGTCATGTGCCCTCTTTGTTCCATACTGTATATATATATATATATATATATATATATATATATATATATATATACATATATATATACGTGTCTCTGTAAACTACTTGTACCTGAGAATGGTATAATCTTGTCGAAACGTTGTACATTTATAATAAAGCCTTTTTCATTACCCAGTCAAGCCGTCTCCAACCTTTTATTAAGTACCGATATGTTTAGCTCAAGGCGACTATATCCCAAAGTTTATTTCTGAGAGGGTATTTGTAAAGCAAGATTGTTAAACCATTCAGAATAAAAACAAAACATTTTAAGAAAGAGAGTCTTCAATGTTCTGTTCCATTTTAAAATGACTCCAAACACCAAACCAGTATATCACTCTCATCACAAAGTATATGTTATATTGTTGCAGAAATATTGCAATGAAGCTGGACATCTCTCCTGTTATTGTTAACAAGATACCTCCCGACCAGTTGAAGCTGACAAAATTTCACAGGCTTCTACCTACTCCTTGCACTGAAAGGTTATTTAGACAAAAATAAAAAAAGGATGGCCAAAGAAATTGGAACCACAACAATCACATTCGGCCGCTTACATATCAAGTCATCAACGCAGCTGCAATGGACATTTGTTTTAAATAGGGTCCTGGGAGCTCTAGTTCGTGTAAAGTGAAAGATATGGGAAAAACTTATCAAATTCTATGATCTAAGACAGGATTCGTCATCGTTCGCAAAAGTTTAGAAATTGCAATGTTGAATTATTGTGCATAACAATGATATCAGACTGATCTTAAAGGCAGAACGTGACCTGGATCATCCTTCTTGTGAAGTGGAACTAACCTCTATTACATGTTATTGACTAAATTTTATGCTGATGTACCAGATAATGAACAGTAACTGTTTAGTTGAATACAAAGTGAGTTAATTACAAATTATCCGTATCTTTCGCACTTATCACGTTAGGTCCAAAACAAAACCATGAATTTTGTTATAAAGTAATTAAGTGTTTTACCGGATGTTCAGTTGTTGTTGTTGTTTTTTATTACAGGTCTGACTAACTGATTAATTCATAAATTTTGTTATAAAGTAATTAAGTGTATTAACGGATGTTTAGTTTTTTTATTACAGGTATGACTAACTGATTAATTTTATTATTTTCATGCAGACAAGACAAAGCGATTAGTGTCGTTTTTTTTTCACTCCAGTGATAACTAAATGATTAATAGTAAACTTTCTATTCCAGGAATGACTAAGTCACTGACGTTCTTCTCTATATTTTAGACATGGCCAAAACATTCAGACAAATAGCTCTTAACCCCATTCTTGTATGTCATACCTTTGGTATCACCCTACGATTAGTTAGCGTTATTGGTTATATGACACTCATGTCTAAATATATGGAGGTCCAATTTCATCAAACAGCGTCTGGAGCAAGTTTCTTCTCCGGTTAGTAAAGTTTGAAAAAATAAAATAATTTTCTGTTTTAAATCTGTGAATATTGTAAGCATAAAACTACTTTGTTTATTGTAATCGCCTCCAAACACTAGATGTAGTTGATGTTATTTGACAAATGGTATTGTTTCATGCAATTGGCAAGATGAAAACTTTCGAGAAGCATGGACATACTGTTGGAACAGTGTACTTATTAACAAGCACAGATTTACTTGCGATTGGAAAGTACAACAAAAGTACTCGATTAACAAACTTAAAAGTGCTACAAGAACAGTACGTGGTTAGTAAGTACGGATGTACTACAAGAACAGTATGTGGTTAGTAAGTACGGATGTACTACAAGAACAGTATGTGGTTAGTAAGTACGAATGTACTACAAGAACACTACGTGGTTAGTAAATACGAATGTACTACAAGACCACTACGTGGTTAGTAAGTACGGATGTACTACAAGAACAGTACGTGGTTAGTAAGTACGGATGTACTACAAGAACAGTACGTGGTTAGTAAGTACGGATGTACTACAAGAACAGTACGTGGTTAGTAAGTACGGATGCACTACAAGAACAGTACGTGGTTAGTAAGTACTGATGTACTACAAGAACAGTATGTGGTTAGTAAGTACGGATGTACTACAAGAACAGTATGTGGTTAGTAAGCAAGGGTGTATTGTCATAACTCTACGCCAATTATAAAGCAGGGATATACAGTAAGAATATGGCACTGATTAGCAAGTAAGAATGTACCTCAGAAGGGTCATAAAGTATTTCTAAGCACAATTACTTTACGAAAACAGTACAAATTCGTTCAGGAAGTGTAAAATATGCTTAACACGTCTTAATGTAGTTCAGAGCATGAGTAATTTTCTTACTCTTGTTACAGTTAACTTTTACTTCGTTCTGTTTAAAATAAAAAGGAGTGACTTTAATTAATTATATAACCATACATCTCGTGTCTGAAATCATTTACGATATAAAAGGATCGCTATCAAGTGTGTGACCTTGACCTACATCGGTGATGTTATTTCTAGGTTTGACCATCGTGTTGTCGATGGTGCTGGGAATATTAGCTGGGAGTGTGGTGATTCGCAAGGTCAGACCTCAACCACGCAGTCTTCTGGCCTACATACTCTCTACAGAAACCTTAAGCCTCGTGCTCTTACTGATAGTCATGTTTATTTCTTGTGCCCCTCCTAAGATTGCTGGACTGACGAAATCTCGTGAAAGGTAAGTTACCTTCTTTTCATAACGACATCTTTGGTTTGTTTTTTGAACTACATAATTTCATGATGAAACAGATATATAACATCAATAATTCGAAGTTTTTGCGATGTTAATTTCAATTGAGTAGATAACATCTTTTTCATATGCAGAGATCAGGTGTCAATATATAAATAAATAGTATTATTGTAAAGGAAAAATAATTTCTTTCCCCAATGAAGATCGCTTGGTCGAAAAGTTTCTTCAGCATATAATTATTTTTTAGCCGCGGCTCATAGAATGGCTCTGAGATTTTCAAGTCCAAACTTTTGGCTCATAGCTTCGTCATCTCTTGCCCGATTTGAGATTTAATTACAGCTTGGACTCAGGAGGTCAAATCCTTTCTATTGGTGTATTTGACCACGTCCAAGGTCTCATAGATTAATTTTCTCTAATCCTGTCTAAAAGAATTTCAGTTTAAAAAGTAGGATTGTAGAGATTCTGACGAGTAATAAAATCGAATCGGGTATACGCGCGCCCCACGTTTGGTATTACTGGCGCACAAAAATATAGCTAATAGAAAAGAAAAAAAAAAGGTCGTGTAGATTAATTTACTTTAATCCCGCCTGAAATAATTTCAAGTGCCGCGACTATTGAGGATTCCCTCTTGATCTCCTTAGAACGATTTTTAGCCATTTGTTTTGTATTTTGAAATCGTATCAGATTATAACCGTTTCTGTGTATTTTTAGAATATTTTAGATTTTAAACATTTTGCATATTTTCAGATTGTATTGCACTGAAACTGCGTGTTTGTGGTTCATGTTACAGAACAAATCTGAAATTTTCATATTGAATAAAATCTGTGCTTATGTTGGATGGGGGGGGGGGTGATCTTGAACCCAATCCATTTGCGAATTACATAACTTTCTTAGATTTCTAAAAGTTAATACTGACTAATTTGATTGGTATAAAAGTTACAGAAGAATCTAATAAACTAGCGGGTCTTAAAGTTACAACTTTACCAGTCACATGCCTAAAGTCTTTCTGTTTTGAGGAAAAGTTAATTGCAATAAGATGCTTGATTCTATAATTTCACGGTTTGTCATACTAACACTAACAGCGTGTAATATTTGTCGACAGGATTGAACTGAATCAACCTTGTAACGATCACTGCAATTGTTCCACCCGAGTGTTCCATCCAGTGTGTGGTTATGACGTTGAATCAACCGAACAAATTACCTTCTTCTCTCCGTGTTTTGCTGGATGTCAATCCATCAATCTGAGCTCTAAAATATTGGTAAGCCTAATGTTAACTCTGACTACTTCGTTTCAGAGACGACATCTTTCATTTGTGTAGGTGAAATAAGAGATATAATAATAATCTATACTGTGTTATTCAGCTTGTCTGTATGTACGACCGTTACGCTTTCTGACCGAGAACCTGCTGCATAAGCATGCGTAGTTAGAATGTTCCCCGAGAAAAACTGCGCATGCGCATTATTCAATCGACGACAAATAATCTGGCTGCGGCAGAGAGCTGCAAAGCTCAGTGATCAAATCGTTACAATTGCTGTATGAAACAAGAAGTAACAACAAAAGGGGATTGTAAATATACTTTACTAACAATTTTGTACAAAAGAATATTAAAAACTTATCAAAATTGGTTGATATATTTGACCACGCCCAAGGACTCGTACATTAATTTACTCTAATTCTGACTAAAATAATTTTAATTTTAGGGTAGGCTGGTAGAGATCTTGATGAGCAATAAAATTGAATGGGATATACGCTCGCCCCACACTTGGTATTGCTGACACACAAAAATATAACTAATAAAAAGGAAAAAAAGGTTTCATAGATTAATTTACTCTAATCCTACCTAAAAGAATTTCAATTGCCGCGGCTATTGAGGATTTTCGCTTGTTTTACAGGTTTGACCAACATGTGTTTGTTCCCTTATTTTTTGTCCAAGATTAAATCAGTTTTTGCTTTTCAAGCAAAACTTCTTATTCTATAGAAGATGAAATTTCTGATTGGCCAACAAGTATAACATAATTTTCAGCAGGTGTAAGTTCCAGTTACTTTAACTATTGTCTTTTTTTTTTCTCCCAACAGTTTCAAGAAGCTCAATCTTACTCCAGCTGTAGTTGTCTTGAGACTAATTCTGAAGTAACATCTGATGAAACGGCAACTACAGGTTATTGTGAGTCTTACTGTAACATGTTTGTACCATATATCGTTTTATGTGCGTTGGGGAAAATTATCTACTCTACAGGAAGTGCGGGAAATCAGCTTGTTCCGTTAAGGTGAGTGGAGTAATGTGTAACCGCATTTCAAACGATAATGAGTACCTGAGACTTAACGTACTGTCATTTTTTTCCACTTATTTTATTTCTGAACAGTTACAATACTTTCCGCAATATCATGGAATCCTCGAGTCACTAGCTCGAATCTAGTAATAAATATCGTTCGTTATGCTTTGTGTTTGGAACACTTGAATGTTGTTGCATAAATGACCACTAGATGGCAGGGACACCTAGAAATAATAAGTCGACATCTTTAAACACTCAACGTTGTAAAGTGTTGTTTCCATTATTGTTGAAGTATTGTATTTAGCATATGAATTTTATTATCCAGTTTCTATAATTTTGTAAAGTATTCAATCAACTCCCTATTAAGTGAGGTGATAATATAATTATGTAATAGCCAATTAAATTGTTACATGATATTTTTGGTTGTTTTTCACTCACTACAATGAATCTATCTGTATTGAATTTGATGTCTGTTTAATATTGATTTGGGACAGCGGTAAGTCTTCAGGACGCTAGAATCAGGGGTTCGATTCCCCTCGGTGGACACAGCAGGTAGTTCGATGTAGGTTTGTTATAAGAAACATACAAACATTAACATTGATGCTACTGATTTATCTTTCTGAACTATTCAGGAGACACGCTCCTTAAAATACAAATATGTATGAAGCCCACAATGTTTTCTAATCATCATTTTCCACAGGGTTATACCGATTTCTGGTTTTCTTACCACTGTATATAACACACACATCACCAATATAGGAATCCTTGTCTATGTTTTCGATTCACCCTTGTCCAGGGGCACTACTAAAGGGCTTAATTTTCCGTAACCGGTCTGTTCCAATGACAAGTGCTTAATCAATTGAAAGATTGGACTTCAGGTTTAATTTTAGTAATTAAACTATTCATAACTAAAAAAACTGTTTTCTTTTTACTAGATTGTTAGGCAACAGTTACATCATATAAAACGTTTTGGTTGCTGAACCAATATTCGATATCAAGTGCCTGATGTAAGACAGCATAACTTGTTTGGGTTTTAATTTTAAATACTAAAATTTCCAAAAATCAAACAAAAATTATTACTTTATATTAGTTTTCATTTCATAAGTTTATTCTCTTGCAAATTATACTAAAACAAGAATTTACTGCAGGTTTGAGGGAGAGAATTTCAAACTGTTTTATTGTAGTAAACATTTTCGTGAAATAGTTTAATGTAAGATATAATTATGCAAGGAACTCTAGAGACAGGTCATAATCAAATTGAATATATGCTAGGTATTTAAAAAAAATTGCTAACCTTGTCTCGGATTAAAATACATATGTAGAAATACGTTGTTTTTTTTTACGGGAAGTGACATAAATTCTCGTAACACCGAACTGTTGCTAATCCTTACATAACCTAACAAAATACTACTTCAATGTTCTAGAAGATGGAGTTCCAGGTAACGACCATCTTTATTCTTGTCCATAGATTCCATTTGGTGAGGTATTTAAACTGTCGGTTCCCTGGTGGGATAGAGGTAACTTTCTAAAATTACAAAATTAAATTCGGGGTTCGATTCCCTAACGTGGATACAACAGATAGCCCAATGTGACTTTGTTGTAAAACCAACAAACAAATTTAAACTCTCGAGCTGAAGCAATTCTGTGGTTCGATGCAAAGTCAGCTTTTGAATGTGAGGTTTAAACCCAGTTGGGTCTGTGAGTTGTTTCTGGGCCTAATAGGAAGTATAACACTGTAGAACTGAGCCTAATAGGAAGTATAACACTGTAGAACTGAGCCTAATAGGAAGTATAACACTGTAGAACTGAGCCTAATAGGAAGTATAATACTGTAGAACTGAGCCTAATAGGAAGTAAAACACTGTAGAGATCGATAAGTAAGTTTAATACAGACACATAAGCTTGCCGTTGATGTATTTATTTCACGAACTTATGCTTAATTTATATTTTACTTTCGTTTTAAGTTCTTGTTAGTGAACATTAAGCTCGTTCGAGTTTCACTAAAAATATATTTTTGCCGCCAACTGTTGAAGCTGGAGAACACACTAATGTTTCTATATCTTAAGAGGAATTTGATGATAAAGTGCACTTGCTCGTGTGCTTATGTTCTTTATATTACGTCTTTAGTTCATATCGTTATCTTTCAACAGATTGAAGCAGTGTTAAAGCTATATCTTTCTGTAATTTAAAAAAATTCAAATTGCACAAGTCCAACTTTTTAGTGCGTTATAAAATGCAATACATTATTGAGATACATCTCGTAGTACTATCAGCAAGTGATAACAAATCCTTTTGTTGAGGTGATAATTCAAACTACTTTTACTTCCTGTAAGTCATGTCTGGAGTAACATAAATATAAACGTCCTTAATTACATACCGTGGAATTTTTCCATTGCTCACCAGAAGGCTACAACAGTTCTGACTGGTCGTATTATTAGATAATTACTTTGTTTAAGTAATTTGATACTAATTACCAAGTACTTCTCATTTGAAGTTTCGGCTACTAATCTATTGCCTTCTTCAGGAAAGCACTGAGAAAGACTACTCTTTGTGTTGGGATTCGAGCCTGGGTCTTCTGAATAGAAATTTGGTGCTTTATCCACTCGACAGGAAGTACTTAATATGAGTAAAGGGATTGTTGACTAATAAATCATGTAAAACTTTTACAGGTGTGTGGATCCAAAAGACAAAGGTGTAGCGCTGGGACTGAAAGGAGCTGTTGTTTCTCTCTTCGGTAATAATGAGTCTATCTATCAGACAGACACTAAAAGTTTGACAATATCTGAATAAATTACACGTCTGTATGGCAGACACTAAAAGTTTGATAAGATCTGAATAAATTACACGTCTGTATGACTATCTGAATATTTTACAAGTCTATCTGACAGACACTAAAAGTTTGATAAGATTTCAAATGTTACAAATCTGTAATATGGTATATAGTACGATAGATAAATATATTTAGGTATTGCTTGAAAATGTTTCTAATAAATAAATGTATAACTTATTAGCAGGATCAATCTCTTTTGTGTGTTTAAATACTGGACTTCCAGTAGTTTTTAGCCGCGGCATAGCGGCTCATTGAATGGCTCTGAGTTTTTGAGTAAATAAGCACAAAGCTACACAATGGGTTATTCGTGTTCTGCCCACCACGGGTATCGAAACCCGGATTCTAGCGTTGTAAGTCCGCAGACATACCGCTGTGCCACTGGGGGCATTAGCCGCGGCATAGCGGCTCATAAAACGAGTTTTTTCAAGTACAAACGTTTAGCTCATAGCTACGTCATCTCTTGAACGATTTGTGATCCAATTACAGTTTTGAACTTAGGAGGTCAAACTCTTGCGATTTATATATTTGACCACGTCCAAGGTCTCGTAGATTAATTTATTCTAATCTTGTCTAAAAGAATTTAAACTTGAGGGTAGGCTGGTAGAGATCCTGATGAGCAATAAAATCGAATTGGGTATCCTAGTGACAAGCGCTTGATATTGCTGGCGCACAAAAATATATCCAATAAAAAAGGGGAGGGGGAAAGGTCTCATAAATTAATTTACTCCAATCCTGCCTAAAAGAATTTCAAGTACCGCGACTATTGAGGATTCTCTCTTGTTTTTGTTTTTTAGCAGAATATTAATGCTAATATGAGCTTGAAAACTCCTTTGAATTCTAGGTAAGATTCGTTTCCGAAATATGGCTAAATTAAAGGACTTCGAAAAGATAGCAAAAATAATTTGGAATTTTTGAAATCATGTATCAACTATAATATATTCCATAAAATCCTACTAAATTCATGCTACCCAATTTATTCCATAAAATCCTACTAAATTCATGCTACCCAAATAATCCATTATTAAGCTACAATTTATTCTGTAAAATTATATTCGAATTACATGTTAAAAAGTGTTCTCCGTGATATTTAGTTAAGGTTGGAACGTTTTATTAGTCAGAACATCGTTGAAACTTAATGCTGAATTTGTAAGAAGGAAACCTTGAAAATCAATGAATTGCCCCAGTCCCTTCTCGTCTGTAGATATAAGTGTCTTCTCTGCTTGAAAGGATACGTTTGGTACAATACCAGATGTCTCCTGTAAAGGACAGTAGAACATCATATCATACCTGTTCCATCTATAACAACTCACGTGTTTTACAACATGTTCTAAAATGTGACTGTGAAAATACGAACATTACGACATTCCATTGGAGGCAACATCTGAAAGAGCATCAAGTTTCATAGAGGTCCTCGCCATCAGAACATTCCATCGTGAGGTAAATATCATGAACATCTTTTACAGTTCCAGGTGGGACAGCGGTACGTCTACTAACTTCCAACATTAACATTTGGGGTTCGATTCGCTATCTGAGACATCTATAATCAAACTACCATACATTCTATAAAATTCTGATAACTGATCTCAGGCTGCCCTATTTTTTACTAATAAGCTACAATTTATTCTTCATGACTCTAATATTTAATTCATCTTACCCCAGAAATTTACTATAAAGATACAATTTATTTTCAAAATTTTAAGATCTAAGTCCATCCTATCAAAAACATTTATTTATCTTTTGTTGAAATAATCTGAAATTATTTTTGGAATATTATTTCATTTAGGTTCTTTTTTTTTGTCTTTTTCGGACAGCTTTTTTACCTGCACCAGTGATCTTTGGATTTCTCGCAGACGATGCATGCACGGTCTGGGAGGAGGAATGTGGATCACGTGGAAACTGCTGGTTGTATGACCTTGACAAGTTTCGTTATAACCTTCACGGTGCTTCCTTTGGGTTCTTCCTGGCGGGCAGTCTTTTTGATCTTGGTGTGTTTCTTTTAGCACCACGAATGAAGGATTTATACGATGACGAAAAGGACAAGATGGAGACAATTTTCTAATTACTTTGTGTTTCTAACCGGGCTCTTAAATATCTGATAAACTTATTAGACTAATTTATGTGTCTATTTAACTAAAATGTAATAATAATAATAATAATAAAAGCAATGACTTGAAACTAATATGTGTAATCGATTTTATAGAAAAATACTCTTTCATTTGTCATGTATGTTAACATTGGTCTCATATGTCAACAATTGGACAATTTGATTGCCTTCGTATGTTAACAATTGGATGGTTTGATTGGTCTCGTTTGTTAACAACTGGACAATTTGATTATAATTTTTGTTTCTTGGTTACAAACAAACATAATTTTACATAAAAATTAAAGTGATGTCATGAACAACTTTTATTGAGAAGTGTTTGTGACCTGAACTTGTTTGTTTCATATTTTTCGCGCAGAGCTTCATAGACGTTTTGAAATTTGGAATGATAGACTAAAAAGATGGCAGTTAGTCAACAGCACTCACTGCCAACTCTTGTCGGACCGAATAGTGTGTTTTGATCCCAAAATTTATAGTGCATCCACGACCCCAAAGTGCTGCGGAGTGTGTTTTGTAGCAACTGGCCGCGATTCATGAACCGTGGATTCACCATCCAAACACGTTGTTTACCAGGCCACGCTCATCTATTTTCATCTTTGTAATTAATGCATGTTTTTGATGAATAATCATCATACCATGCTAATGTTCGTTAACCACTGATGAACAGATGTTCAACAATTAAGACGTGTTTGCCATAAAGATTTGATTATGAACTTAAGGTGGTAAAACACTTTCACAATAAATGTTTTATAATTTCTAATTTATAAACATGTTTATAAACAAATCGTGATAAGATACTGTCGAATATAAACATTATCTAGTTTCATTATCCCACGATATTAAAACATGTTTATAAATATGTATTAATAGTGATAAGATACTGCTGAACATCAACATGATCCGATGTTTACCATCCCAGGGTAACAAAACATGTTCATAAATATGTATTAGTAGTGGTAAGATACTGCTGAACATCAACATGATCCAATGTTTACCATCCCAGGGTAACAAAACATGTTCATAAATATGTATTAATAGTGGTAAGATACTGCTGAACATCAACATGATCCGATGTTTACCATCCCAGGGTAACAAAACATGTTCATAAATATGTATTAATAGTGGTAAGATACTGTTGAACATACGCCCGGCATGGCCAGGTGGTTAGGGCACTCGACAGGTTGCTTCTTATACTTGTGTACTTATAAAAATAAATCTTAATTTTATGTGCTATCTTAACACGGAAAAAATCGAAATTACTACACAAACTGGAAAAAATAAAAATAACCGTTTAGCAAATGATATAAAGAGCACGTGAAAGTTTACCGTATGTTCTTTAAAGGTGAGTATATTATCAAAATATTCTGATTGTTCATGTGTGTTTTTGTGTATTTGTGAGCATGCACAAGTATAACCTATGATGATGATGCGTCGAAGTTTGGATAATGTCGTTCAGGATTTCAACGTTCTTGTAGTTGATGTGATGAACTTTGGGTAACCTCGTTCAGGAATCAAACATTGTTGTAGTCGATGTGATCAACCTTAGTTAAGATCATTCAGAAATCTAACGTTGTGATGAACTTTGGGTATCTTCGTTCAGAAATCTAACGTTATTGTGGTTGATGTGATGAACTTTAGTTAACCTCGTTCAGGAATCTAGCGTTCTTGTGGTTGATGTGATGAACTTTAGTTAACCTCGTTCAGGAATCTAGCGTTCTTGTGGTTGATGTGATGAGCTTTGGGTAACCTCGTTCAGGAATTTATCGCTTCTGTACGTAAACTGTATGGTTTGATCTATAATTCTAGGTCAATAAGGCGTGAGAATTATTGTGTTGAGACCATATGCTGACCTCAGAAAAAACATTTTAATTTTACGGGCATCTGTTTTAATGATAATACATTTACAATCTATTATAGAAATAGGCAATGGTCCACCCTGTTAAAATGGTTTTGTTAATAAAATGATGTTTCTTCTAGAATGGTTCGTTTATAGTTTTAAATGCACAAGACTCAAATTCTATGAAAACAAACTGACCAGTGCATATTTTCTATTACGTCTAACGTTTCTGTATATTTTAAAAGTGATTGGAAAACTGTCATTCTACTAAACGAAATGAACCTGACTGTAAGTGATGTACCATATGACCAAACAAACTAACGTCAGTGATAACATGTACCATATGACCAAACAAACTAACGTCAGAGATAACATGTACCATATGACCAAACAAACTAACGTCAGTGATAACATGTACCATATGACCAAACAAACTAACGTCAGTGATAACATGTACCATATAATCAAACAAACTAACGTCAGTGATAACATGTACCATATGACCAAATAAACTAACGTCAGTGATAACATGTACCATATGACCAACCAAACTAACGTCAGTGATAACATGTACCATATGACCAAACAAACTAACGTCAGTGATAACATGAATCATATGACCAAACAAACTAACGTCAGTGATAACATGCACCACTTGTATCAAATATAGTTGCTTCATGTCAAAAATAGCAAAAATAAAGACATCCATCATTAAGAATTGAAGTAGAGATAAACGATTAATTTATCAATCTCTTTACAAACGATAGACTATTCGCTAAACGGTAGCGACGTAACATGACGTAGCACACTATATAAAACTTGTTAACATTAATACAGTAATACGAAATAAATGTAAGTACTTTGGATGAGTTTTAGGTATATTATTATTATTTATATTTTATCTAAACGATTTCTGAAAAATTAACTTTATTGGGGATATAACTATTTTTAAAGATGATTTAGTATTAATTTATAACGGAAATTCTGATAAAACATAATGAGTTAAATTATAAAAATGTTTTAATGAAAATTTATGTTTAAAATGTTAGAAAAACAGTTTATACGAGTTTTTCTTTTAAATAATCAAAACGAATAATTGAAAATCATCCAATATAAGATAGAAATTGTATATGTAGGTTTCTAGATAGTAAAAACATTGGAAATGTTCGTTTGTTTGTTATTAAGCACAAAGCTACACAATGGGCAATCTGTGCTCTGTTAATCACGAGTATCGAAACTCGATTTTTAGCGTTATAAACTGACAGAGAGACATGGGAGACATTTTGGAAACATTACCTCTACTTGGAGTAATAATGGATTATAGATTTAGTTGTAGAAAACAAATTAAAGATATGGGGAAAAGTAGGAAATATTTATGCATTAATTTAGCATTTAAATAATTCCAATGTTTTCATGAAATAATTAATATATGTTATGCATGGTTTGACTGTAGCCTACAGTATGGTATAACCTGCTGGGGTGCTTGTTTAACATATGTAATAGCTATAATACAGCTATAGAAAATATTATAAGGTGTATTTTAACATTTACACTGTATCATAACACCAAATTACGTTTTAAAACATTAAATATATCACCATTATGTAAATTACATATTTATAAAACATTAAATAGCAAAGATATGTAGAACTGGCAAGAGAAAAAAAAACATCATAAACGAATTAGGTAATATTTGAACAATCTCAACTGTAATTACTTCTATGAACATTACTGATGTAGGTTACTTAATCCGCCACAGTTTTTTTTTTTACATTTAAACGTTGTCGTGGAAATGTCACTTTTCTCTAAGAAAATAGTTTATAATGTACAGTTTTACAATCAAAATTGTTCATGAAGCTGACATTTTTACGTAGTACAGACTAATTCATGTGAATTTGTTTAGGCTCCCGTTTACTTCATTCCAGCTGTGGTGTAGGGAAGCAGATTATATTAACACAGTAGTAAATTAATAACCAATGATTTATAAGCACAGTAGTAAATTAATAAGCAATGATTTATAAGCACAGTAGTAAATTAATAACCTATGATTTATAAGCACAGTAGTAAATTAATAACCTATGATTTATAAGCACAGTAGTAAATTTATAACCAATGATTTATAAGCACAGTTATACTTGTTGTTGAAAACATGCTTCTTGTTTCGATAGTACGTTTGAACTGTGGAATTGTTTTTTATTAACAAATTAACAAGTCATAGTTTGTTGATTTCCTGTTTCATAACAGCTCATAAAGTGAAATAATTAAATGAACACATATTGTATCTTATTATCTGTCGTAACAGTTTATTATCTGAATTAATTAAATTAACACATATTGTATCTTATTATCTGTCGTAACAGAGAGAACAGCGACCGCAGATTTCAATAATATATATATATATATATACACACATCA